TAGCTCTGCTTAGACGGGGTCACAAAGTAAGGAAGCTAAAGCACATCACCATATATCATGACAGCAATAAGAAAACAGTTAAAGAGACATGCATACGAGGGTCTATTGTGGTGGTGATGCTCCAGCATCCTTTTTTGTGCATCATTGACTCAAAACTAACAAGCTAGCACACAAAGGGTTACTGAGCAATAAGAGTTCATGGTCGAGCAAGTTTCTGAAATCAATCAGTTTCACGGACCGGACGCATCTCAATGAAAACAGGCTGTGGTGATGAGCAATGACGTTGCCATGACAACAGGCAGGCTGAGCGTGCAGCCTGGATTTGGTATCTAAAGGCGTGCGGCTGGCAGCACCCAGACAGTTTGGGTTTTTAACCTCTTAAGTGGCAGAAAGCAAGCTGCAGTCTCAGATGAGATCATGGGAGGATGTGGGGATGTGTGGGTTGGGTGGGTGATGGTGAGGTGTTTGGGGGGGAGTGCAAAGTCAGGCATCAGTTGAAATCTCTGCCTCGGGGCATAGACATGGGAAATGTAAAAGGTGGTGGGTGTTTTTTTTCTTTTTCTCTAATGTTTTTTGTTACCATCCAAATCCAGAAATGGCCAACTACAGAGACATGAGAGGGACAAAGACACAAATTAACACATAAGAGGAAAACAGTCACATTTTCTAACTCTTTTCATAAACACAGTCATAAACATACAGGCTAATAAACCAGAAATTCTCACTCCTATCTCACATAGACAAGTGAGCACACTGACAGCCGCTGTTGAAAACACACTGCATGCAGATTAAAGAGGCAGCATTGAGAGTGAGAGCAGAACAGGATGGCTACAACAATAGAAACCGCGTGGGGAGTCCACAGAAACCCGCCTGCTATTGCTGACTGCTGGCACATGAACACTTGTGGATGAGTTGTTTAAAGGCACAGATCAGACTCATGTGTTTTCAGCTTACCTGTACAAACAGTCTCACAAGAGGCATTCTCACAGCCACAGACAGCTGAGCTGACTCTGCCGCATCATTTATTATCTTATTAATGAATGGAAACGCATGGCGCCCTGTCATTGTGTTGTTAGAGCTGCTAACAGCACTGCTTTCTAAAATTACATAGGACCATATTTCCCATAATGTTACTAGTGTTGCAAGAGGGTATTTTTGCTCATCCTCCTTCCCTCAGAGTGCACCACCTGTGTTTAATCGATCATTTATTTTGCAGTGTGTTTTTACCAGTTAAAGCTATGACTGAAAACTGAAACTTGTAGCTGTTTGTTTTGGGAGAACAACAACCTTTTCTATTTTCATTTTGTTGTAACGTTATCAGGTACATTTTCCAAAACATCTGACCAGTCTCTTTTTCCCCAAAAGTCAATCAGTCATTTTTAAAGTTAAACATTCAATGACTTGCAACATCCCTCGTTGGTGCCCGGCCTTATGCTGAGTCCACATTTCTCTCCATCCCTAATTTCCTGTTATATAGACAAATCCTGCAGCTGACCTTTGACTTGCACTCTCTTGCACAACTGCCTTTACTGTGGTGGCAAAGTGGAAATGAACACTGTAGTGTGGAAGGAGATAGAGTCCATCAGTCCTCTGGGTAATGAACACATTTGTTTGCCTTGATTGTATTAATGTCCAAGTAGAAAAAAGTGATTTACTGATACTTCATTTTTGAACAGAGCAAGGACTCTAGATTTAATTCCCTATCTTTAGCAGTGTACCAGTAACTCTTCCAGCACACATGGTATACAAGTATCGTTTCAAGATACAACACTACAAACACGTGCATGATCAATCAATCCATCTTTTTATTCACCACTGTAATGCTAAGTTTGAGTTAAAGAGCACTTCAGAGTTAATATGGCCAGCTCTGTGATGTATGGTCAAAGGACAAAGAGGACTATAGTTCCACTGACATAGTCGGCAAACCACACCTTTCACTTCTCTGGGCGATAATTCCACATTACTCTTCCCTAACATCTTGTCAAGGGGAGGATTAGTGCCCCTCAGGGCCTTCTTTTAAACACATACACACTCACTTTCACACTCTGCATAGTCTGTCTTTGTTTCACATGCAGAACCTTTCTCCCTCTTTGGGCTGTGCATTAAAGGTTAAACAAAAGCCAGCTGGCCTTTATTAAAATAGGAAGCATCAATGAGGATGCCAAACTAATGTGGCTGTGATGTCGCTGCATCATCTCCATCAGGGAATGTGTTTCACATGCAGATGACAGAGGTTTGAAGCCACTTACAGAAACAGATGTACGTGTTCCATAACCACAAAGATTCAGCTCAATCAACTCACTGAAGCATCTCTGAAATTACTATAACTCACTATATACTGTACCTCTGTTACATCCCTAATACTTGCTGTGTCAGCAGGGTAATCACCAAGACACATTTCCAGGGAATTACCAATGAAATTTAATGGATAAGCTAAGGGAACAACAAATAAACTGAAATGTGTTGTTATCTACAGCTTCCATTTTTAAATGATGGTTTTTTAGCTGTAAGCATAAAGCTAACTAATATAGGAGCTTAAATTTACTGACATCAAGTAGTAGAATTACTTAATATTACTCTTTGAAAGTATACATCCTGTAATTCTTGCACATATATAGCCAAAGCCCTGCCCTCATCCTAACTTAAAAGTTTGCTTATGGATTGTGAAAGAGGGATAAGTGATAGTTCAGCGTCCACATGAGTACCACCCTTGCCACACACACACCTTCAGCCCAACCCCCTAAAGTTTCACCTCTTCAAATGATATACAATATATATTACACAATTAAAGATGTGTGTTTGTCTTATCGCCGAACATTACAACAAAAATTACCTAATGGGGTGACATGTAATATTGTACTGCTTCCTTTCCTCACACCCCAACCTCATGTAATCCTGTAGAAATGATGTAATCACAGTACAAATTCAACCAGTGGTGGTCCGGCTACTCTCTTTTTAGCTGTTGGGGACATGAAGACACGTCTACTATTTAACAGCTGAGAAACACTTTTGTTTGATGATAAGATAAGATAAAACATCAGCAGTAACTAATTTTGGGCTGATACAGAACAGTTTGATGAATGAGGAATTTCTACATATGGAGGATAGTTCAATTTCCCAGATAGTAGATCATTTCAAAGTAAATATTTTAAGGGAACAGGAACAACCTAAGATTAACTTCTAAGTTGAATGCTTCTGCCTAGCTAACTATACACTCGGATGCTTCCAGACCATCAGGGCATTATGGCAAAACAAGCCAAAGGGCTGTGTTGATTTTAGTTGCTATAGAGCGCAGAGGACAGAAAATGCAATACTAAGCAGAAAGTCTAAAAGTGTAATAACTAAAAATTTGCTAAGCTCACTACACCAGTAGTCATTTTTATCTTCATTTTAACAACTGTAAGCTAAACAGTATAATAACACAATGCTAAGGGACACACTGCAAGGTCTTTAATCTATGTGTGTGCTTGTAGTTATTTAGCACAGTGTATTACCAGATTATACCGCAATGTACTGTAGAAGAAGTAAATCCATCCCCAACTGTTTTTGCTGAAGTCTCCTGCTTGCTGTTTTCCAGCAGTGTCATTGATAGTCAGACGTGACTCTTAAAGCTCTGCTAATTATCAGCTTGGCCTTCAGGGAAGAGACTTGGCATTAACATTAAACACAGACAATGACATAAACATTAAATTCAACATGAACTTTTCTTCTTTTGTGACTTAGTGCTTAATTATTTGTAAAAGTAAACCCTCATCCGTCAGTCCTGAACTATAACTGAACAATTCAGCTTCAACAGGTGCATGTTTATATCAGCAGGTCAGTGACATACTGACTGTGACATCATGAAGCTGTGTAGCTGCCCCCCAAAGCCAGTGGCCATTCACTCTTGTAACACGCCAGCCTGCCACTGAGGGAACAATTTACTGGCCATTAACCAGAATTTACTAGCACCCTAAGGTGAGCTTAGCAGAGGTGACTGGACTTTAGAGATGCACATACATCTGATACATCGGCACACTGATACACTGGTCATTCAAATCAGGCTGCAAATTTAACAATTCAAAGAACCTCTGATGAACAACTGACATAATGATTTAGAATATTAATGTTTGTGTGATAATATTGTCTAACAACTAACATGCTGTGCCTGCTGAAGTGATGTTTCTAAAGCTGTAACCAAATAAACAAAGCCCTTGCACTAGAAAAACTGGAGAAGGACATATATAGGATGCATGGTTAAAATAAACAGAATGAGACTGCAACAAATTGGCACCGGCCTACACACCTAAAATACACTGCTGCTGTGAATATCCCTGCTGACAGTGTTAGCACCTTGTTTGCTTATGAGTGGGAAATTCTGCTTATTCTGAAGTGAGATATTTGCACCACTTCTCAAATTGAGCTCTTAAACATGATAAAATTAGTCAAACAAAATGATCAGCTGAAAAGAACTGCTCTCACACCATTGCATGACCTCTCATGTTTTTCACACTTTGCCAATCTATGCATTCAGTGAGCAGTTTAGTAGGTATTCCAAGATGTTTATTTATTTGTATGATCATTCTGGAGACTGCAGTTTGTGGTGCTGTTAGACTGCACAGCATTATACAGAAAGGCCCATCTGTTATTTAGCCTAGCCTCAAGGAGTGGACAAAATCAAAGAAGCACCTGTCAGTATAACACAATTCAGTTCAACAGTAGCACAAACTACATCCTCAAAAATGATCATACAGTTAAAACAACACTTCTCTGAAACTATCTGAACTAAAACTGAAACCCTATAACCTTCATTTAACAGGATTTATTGCAGGACTGTTGAATGAAACCTTTAGGACTGTAAAAGACTTTCTTTACTCTTCCTGGAAGATTTGGAGTTAGAATAACTTGCTCATGTGGGCATGTTATAGTGTAAACTGCAGTGTTTCTGTGAATATAAGGGATGTATAAGGTCGGGGTTAGTACTGTGTCTGAGAGCCACAGACGCAGCGGTGCGCCCTTACCCTCGCCGCCCTAGAAGAGTAGGGATCCTCGAATAGATTCCAGATCACCGGCTGCCACTTCCTCCACAGGCTGATATTACCATCGGCCGGCGCACCCACAAATCCCTATCTCGTCGTCCTCGTCACCGTTGTCCACGTTGAGCTCGAACACGTCCAGAGCCTCCTCTGCGTCCCGGTGCTGCCGGTATGTCATCCAGCAGCAAGGCTCCACGTCCGTCTCATCGATGCCCCAGAAGGAGAGCTCCTCCTCGAACAGTGGTCCGCACACATCCGCTGGGCAGTGGAGCTTCCCGGTCCGATAGTAATTGAGCACATAGGCGAAAACCCCCGGGTGGCGGTCGAAGAAGTACTCGTTGGTCCGTGCGTTGTACTCGATGAAGCCGGGGACTTGTTGCAGCTGATCCAGCACGGAGTCGATGTCCGAGTCGGAAGCGAGCAGGGCCAGTCGCGTCCCCGGCAGGGTCTTCAGGGTGGTTTTGTAGGTTTCGTGCCTGGTGCCCCCGACGTTGAGGATTATCCTCTCGTTGTCGTCAAACTTGCCCATCGCTCTGTATCAGACATGACTTGATGGAAAGCGGGGGAAGTTGATGAGTGCAGTCCGGAGGTAACGGCGAACCCAACGCGCACACACCTGCAGTCACAGCCCTTTTCACTAAAGCTCCAGAATTTTGAACGCGGTGCGCACCATCTCCGGTTTCACGCTTTCGTGGCTTCTCTGGGGGTCGAAGATGATGTCCATCGTTTATTTCGGGGAGGATGGAGCTCGGCGATTTGTATCCCACAACCAATCCGTTCACACGGTCAGTGCTGTCGGAGTGCTGAATGATCTCAACCTGTGTCTCCAAATAAACTGTGCTGCTACTGCCGTTGCGCATCTCTAGTGTCCCTGCCCTCTCCAAGACGCACGTCGGGCTCGTTACTGAAAATACCCGTGATTCCTGTCAGAAAGTAGTGCTGGCTCTTTACTCATCACTCCATGTGAAAACTCGCCCATTACACGTATTTTCATTTAGGCTACATCTCCAGTTGCGTAATTTTTTTGGTTTAAAAGATCAGGGGAAGTTAGTTTCAGAGGAATGAATAAGCGCTAAGGGTTTATCGCCATGAAACAAGAGAGGAATTTCCATCCTCGTTTGAACCAATTTTAGATAACTACCTCAGTGAATCAAGAAACTGATTTTGGGTACTGAGAAATGACAGGAAGGACACCAAGAATTGTTGTTTCTATTATTGTGTGAAGGTTTGTATCTTTCAACTGGCCAAGTAGTTTACAGTACAGACCATCCTTCATCTGCTTACATCTGCTTACATCCTTACACTGGTCCAGTGGTTTTGATTACTACCTGACATTAGTTTCAATTAATTAAAAGATAAATACATAAAGATAAAAATAAATTGTATATAAATCAATTTAATTTATATACTATTTATACTAATTTTGAATGTAATTTAATCATGGCAAACATTTCAGTCAAATTAATTAAAAGCTATCTTGATTGTGTACATTTGTGAAAGGCACAATGTTAATATTTAAATGCGACCGATTTTGCTTTAACAAACTGTTTTCCTTTGTTAGTCCAGTTAAAATCAGTTTGGCTTTATCTATTTTACTAGATGAATTAACTAATATGTGTTTGAATAGCTATACTATCAACCTTGTTTCAATTAATGCTACTTTCACTGATAGTACTAAAACATATTTGTTTCCATTAAATCAGAATCAGCTTTATTAGCCAAGTATGTTAAACAGACAAAGAATTTGACTCCAGTACAAAGGCTCTCAATGTGCTTTGCAGGGAAACAGGAAATAGAACATTTAAATAAGAATATATTTTAAAAAATGTGTGCATTCAAAAGAAAGGAGAGGAGGAGTTCAAACAGATTGTGTCCAGGACGTGAGGGGTCTGCAGAAATCTTCTCTCCCCTCCTTTTGACCCATGAGGTGTACAGGCCCTCCATGTAGGGCAGGCAGGCTGGCACAGATTATTCTTTTTGCAGCCTTGACTGTCTGCTGGAGTCTGTTCCTGTCCTGTTTGGTTGCTGAACTAAACCAGACAGTGATGGAAGTGCAGGGAACAGACCTGATCCCTTGATCATTATGATAAAACGTGCAAATACATATAAAACACATTTATATTTTATTTGTTTTTACACCTGGCACTAACAACATATACCTGCCAGGATACTCAACCTGCTTTTCAATGCATGAAATTAACTTACAGGTACACCTAGCTAAAAGTAATCCGATCTAAATGTGTAACAGTCCTGTAATAAATTCTACATTCATGAAGGTTGAAATCTTCAGTTTGTGGTGATTCAAATGATCATTGTTAAGGGTGTAATTTGCAGTGCAGTGGAGAACATTACACTGAGAGGTGTAAATATTTGATCAATTTTCTAATATATATATATATACATTATATAGCCCAATAGCACTAGTTTGCCTCTAGGGGCTTTACAATCTGTATAGCATACAAGACACTCTGTTCATAGACCCTTATATCAGATAAGAACAATCTAACTAAATAACCCTTTAAGGAGGAAGAAACTTCAGAAAAAACCAAGAGAAGAGGGATCCCTCTTCCTTTACAAACAGACATGCAATAGATGCCATGTGTACAGGATAGAACAATGGGCGAGTGATAGGCATAGAGCTTGGACACTTGTGCTTGAATGAATAAACAGAGAGTTAGAGAGATGCAATGGTTTTCATAAGGTTTACACTAATCTCATTGACAGGACAATATGGTTGTACATACTAGGGTTAATTGATTAACTGAGACTGTAACAAATTGTCTGATGTCAGCAAGGAGGTTAGGCAAAGGCCCTGCAGTCTGCAGACTTCTTTTTAACTCTGGGAACAAACAGGAGCCCTGCATTCCGAGATCAGAGAGCATGGGATGGCATATAAAGGTTATGGACATTAAACAGTTACAAAGCAGGAATTAGGATATCTGTATTAGCCACAGTTACAAAATAGTAAGACTTCAGCCATATGAGGGCAGGGCAGAGATAGCATATTTGTTTTCAAAAAAGTAAGCAATAATCTACTGTATGGTGTCAAGAGCTTCACTCAGATCAAGTAGGAGAAGCATAGAGGTGGAATCTGAATCCATATTAAAAGCTCATTTGCCACTTTAGTGTAGTGTAGTTTTGGTGGAGTAACAGGGTCAGAAAGCAGACTGTAAAAATTATTACTGTTGGATATGTGAGCTGAAAGCTGATGAGACAACTTTTTCAAGTATTTTGAAAAAAATGGCAGGTTAGAAACCAGTTGATAATTACTAAGTGTGGTTTAGTAAGTTGAGTTTTAAAGCTAGTAGGGAGAGTCCCAGTTGTAAGTTACAAATTAACATTATTCAGCATTGTAGGTCCCGAAAGTGTGAAGAAATCTTTGAAAGGTTCAGGTGGCAAGGGATTTAAGCATGCAATGTATCTCTTTGTTAGTATAGTGATGAGTATCCCCGCCTAGCTATTACGTGGTATACTGGGGTTTGATTCCCTCACAGGGAGTGTAGATAAGTTTTCATGTGGTTGTCTCCCAACAGGAGGGTTGGAGGTTCGAACCACAATGCTCACATGTTAAAGTGTCCTTGGGCAAGACACTGAACCCCCAAGTTGCCCCTGATGGTTAGAGCCATCGGTTGAGTTGGTGCCGCAGATGGCTGCCTCAGTTCTGTACCAAAAAGAAAGTCCTTGTGTTTGTAACATCCATCCATCCATCCATTTTCCTCCACTTACCTGTAACCGGGTCACAGGGCAGCAGTCTAAGCAAAGATGCCCAGACCTCCCTCTCTCCAGACACTTCCT